TGTTCGTGTTAATCGCATATTGTGGCTGCAGCAAGTGCCAAGCTGGGTACTGATGAAACTGGTCTGTTCTCTTAGTGCCAGTAACAGGAGGCATTGATGTGTTTGTCTCAGGTCAAAGAAAAAAACAAAAATGAATTTCAGGCTCTGAAGGTCTGTCTGTGCAGCTGACAGCTATGAGGTCCAGTCAAAACATAACTATCAGCCGAAGGTTGAATCTATTTTGTGTGTGTGAGAGAGAGTGTGTGTGTGTGTGTGTCTCCCTCTCATTGTCTGACAGACTTTGTTTTCTCTTAGTATGTGCATTGACAAGATTCTGCCCTAAGCTTTGCCTGGGGCCAGAATGATCTCTCTGTTTTTCCCATCTCCTGTATCACACATCCTGCACTACAATCGGCGGACACAATGTATTCACAATGCCATTAGGGTGTAGAGAACACACACAAATAAAAAGTGACAAAGACAGCCATGATTACTAGTAATGTGATACTGTGTATGAGAATGATGGAGCTGCAGCATTAAAAAGAAAGGCAGTATTTGAGTAGCACTAGTCGGTGTGCCGCGTTTTCCCAGGTCATTCCTGGAATAAAGCAGCGTGATGTCAGGACTTGGTCACCTGTTATGTACGTTCTCATGGTACTTTAAGCCAGCCTGAGGATCAGAAGACTGGGTCTGATTGAGTGTGTTACCTTGACGTAACATGTACAACAGAAAGGCATTTCTGGTATGTTACTGAACCGCCGCTGTTTTGACAGAATAGGGCTGTTTCGGACTAAATTATTCTGATCTATTTAAGGAGTTTTTCAGCTGCTGGAATACCTAAGTGAGTGGGTGTACGTCTGCAGTTTAGATTTTTTTTTTGTTTGTTTGATTGAGACTGCAGTGACTTCCTGTTCTCTGGTGTTCTGGAGCTGCTTCCTGTCAGTAAGCGCCCCCTGCTGAGGCCTGTGTTAGTTTAAAGGTCACAAGGTCCAGTTTAAATACTGTACACACGCCAAGAAGCAGTTGTCAGCTTGTGGCACAGTTTAACTCCGGTTTGAAATCAGCTGCTCTCCAATCTATTACACCGACAAATGTAGCTCAGACAACAACTCTTTAAATGGATATTCATTACTGCATCAAAATAGCTGCTCTCATGTGTAGAGTAGTAGCAGCGTAGTAAAGAAAATTAAACTAAACAAATCACAACTGGCCTTTCTTCTGTGCTTTTGTCTTTTGATATGTTTTTTTTTGTTTTCTGTAATCTTTAACAGTAAGCTGTAAGAGACCACCCACGTAGACAATTTCCTCCCATCCCTGGATCCCCATAGTTTCTCCGTCAATGCTAAAGTTTGTTATTTATACAGTGTTGAAGATACAAATGATGAGCTACAGGAGTTATGTAAATCATGTAAACATTCATTTTGGGTTTAATGATGCCAAAGATGCATTCCTAGTAAAATTACATATTATTCATAGTATTTATATATGGTTAGTAAAGTACACACAAAGTACATGTATTTCATTTGATTTAACCGTAAACAATTTTTATTTAAGAAAATTTGAAAAATAATAAAAAAACGACACCCGTGCAGCGCCTGAGTAGAATTAAAACAAACAACTTGTTGTTTTCTCGAGTGATTATGGGGTCATGTGCTCTTCGGGGGGGTCACTCTCAGGTAGTTTTTTCGTGACACATCCTGTTTACCACTTTGCTGCTGGGTGATTGTGTCTCCCAGTTTCTGCAGCTATGGAAACCAAACCAGCAGTATATACTTTGACTGTCAAGAGGCTTAAAAAAAAACAGAGAAGCAGTTGTTGCCTTTTCTGCAGTCTGTTGTTCAGTTTTAGGTATCCAGATGTATGTGGAGATGTTTTTTTTAATTGCATGTTCGAGCCACTAAAGGCGTTAAATATGTCCAACAATTTTTGCTTGAGAAAAACATGATTCTTATATAGATTATTACTTTTACTTAAGAGACACGTTTAAGATCCGGTGAACAGAGAAGATGCTTTAAGCAGCATTTAAGGAGGAATAACTCATGGGACTGAGAGACAGAGAAACTGAAAGGCGGTGTTTTACAGGCACACACAGCAGCTTCATGCTTAATCACCCTCTGTACCTGCCATGTCTGTTGTTCCTGATCGTCATAGTAGCACTGCAGTATTTCTATCAGATGATCTCTCCCTCCTAGTCTGCGGCCCTTATGTTTATGAAAATGATACTCCACAGGAATGCTTCCTGGAAGCCAAGATGTCACTGTCTTCCTTCATTGCTTCTACCTATGTGTGTGTGTGTGTGTGTGTGTTTTCAGATGGGCGTAAGCTATTTGATGTTGTGCATTTTCCTTGTGTGCCACTAATAATTACTGCAGCTCTGTGTGTTATCATGAACGCCTTACTGCTGTTGCTGCGTGAGCCACGACTGCCATGTTGATTGTGAGAATGCCCCCCCCCCGGCATCACCTCTTACTGATGAACTATTCAGAATGTAATGATTCTTATCTTTCCTCACACATGGTGTCAGGTCACTTTATGAGATACAAAATACAACATACACGCTCACCCTCCTGTCCCGTCTTTACACACGCACACACCTGGAAAACTCGTATATCATTCCTTTACCACATGCCAAGATATCAGTTAAGACTGCATCCAGGAGGATTGTTGTATTCATAATCCTCTTTCTTTTTTATTCTAAGGGAGCCTCTATACTCCCATCACCTTTTATTAGCTTGATAAATCACCTCTGTTGTCAGTCAAGCCAGATAGAATAATTGGATGTGGTTGTCGCCCTGTGTGATGGATTATCAGTCATTGGGGATTAAATTAACAGATAGTGCTCATACATAATGGTTTTTGTTTTGCATTTTAAATTGCTTGGGAGCACAGCTAGACTTAGTAGGTTTTATTGTTGGTCCTTTTTGTCCACCTCCCCCTCTTCCATGCCATCTAAGCTTAATGACGAATTATTAATAACAGATTAAGATTTAGCTGGAATGGGTTGAATCATAAAGCAGTTATTACAGAGCTGAGGTGCAGTTAAAAGCCTAGGAAGGCTCACGGTGTAGTGGCGTGGCATTAATCAGAATTTTGTATTAGAGTAAAGAAAAGAAAGAAAGAATATATTATATATATATATACTGTATAAAGCTTGTATATTTCATCTTTTGGGGAAGACAAGTGAGCAGATACGTATATTGGATCAGAGAACCAGTGATAAAAGCTGGCATCCAGCTATTAAAAATAATTAACAAAAAACATTTCTCAAAGTTACAATATCAAAATGTTTTGTGACATAAACGAAAAAAAAGTGACCCAAAGAATAAAGGCGGTTTCTTTAGTTTCTTAAGCACTTGTAAGAGTGAGATATCTCTCTTGCATGTTTGCCTGAGCAGGAAGAGGTAAGCTCCCTTCTGCCTTTTCTATGCTCAGACCCCTCCCTCCTATTTCACATCCGCATTATCATAATTGTGTCCAGAACATGAGGGACCAGGGAAGTGATCATGTCATTTTATTTACACCCTGCTTGGCCCTTTTTACAAACGACATGCCACTGACTGCCTGGCGAACTCGGGACCAACGACATCTTTTGATCAGAGCTGTCGGGGTCTATCAGCGGAGAATGGCAGGTAATGGATACCCAGTGACAAACCAAATCACCGGCAGGACCAAGAGTGGGCTGTACCTGCCAGGTCTCGATTAGACGGGCGTCTTGGAGGGACCGCCTTCTAACTGTGCCCCCAGGGCCCAAATCAGACCAGCGCTGGCCACACGGCTGCTTAGAGATTGGCTGTTAGCACTGGAAATGGGAGTTATTCCAGCTATGACATTTTTATTTAGAATGGGGATGTGGGCTTTTGTGTTAGTATTTGTCTCTGTCCTTGTGTGTGTGTATCCAAATGGCCTCACATCTCTCCAAATGCTAGTTTGTTTTTAAAGAAATGATATTTTTTCCACGTTCTCTGTGTTAGTGAGAGTGAGGTAGACATAAAATGTGGGAGGGGTCGGTGGAGTAGTTGTAAGGTGACACTGTAGATGGAGGGGGTGAGTAAGCATTAGGTGTGTTAAATCACTACAGCAGGAGACTCAGGGGTTATAAGCATATGTGAATGTCACACACGCATCACACACACCGCTAACACATTCTTATCCAGTTTTTCATTACCTCACATACGGAGAGACAGGTTACCATCTTATTGAAAATTCTTGCTTTTCTCCCTTTTCTGTTCTGTCATTCATCCATTTCATTTTTAATGAATTGTTAAAAAATCGTAACACACTTGCATCACATTTAACACCTGTTTTGGAACTGTTGTTGTTTGCCTTTAATGGCACTTCCTGATGACTGACACTCTTAGATGATAAGAAACAAATGAGCTCACGTCAGCGCTGGTGGCTGTGTGATATGCGCTGAACATGTCAAAAATGTACAATAATATTTTGGACACCTTTTTCTTGAATTTTCAAAGACGTGTTCTTTGTTCTGCATTGTGCATGTGTGTGTGTGTGTGTGTGTAATCAGAGAAGAGGCAGATGAAGAGGCGTCAGACATATTAACTGACAGATGGAGGTTGATCCAACTCATTTATTACCCCAAAGGAGAATGCCACAGTGAGATTGGGCTTCATTAATTTCAGATTTAGTTTTCATTTCAAGCTGTTGCGCCCTGAGATAAATAAAATGACGCATTATGTTTTTGCCAAGATATTTCTTTTTTGTTTTCCTCCAATAGAAGGAGTAAAAAGAGGGGAGGCATAAGTTCCGTGTGGCTGGGGTAGTATATAAATACAGGCTCGCCTAGAGGAAAATAACACCTCAACGGTTGATGAGGTGAAATGGGATGACTGTAATTTCTCAGCTCAGCTTTAAAGGCTCCCACACAGATGGCTCATTTATCCCTGGGAGTCCTCGGGCACACATAGCAGGGAAACTTTTTCTCCAGTTATTCTAACGTGGCGTTTTCACTCCCTGCAATTTAACTCATCTCTTTCTTTCTCTCTTTGTTTCTATTCTTCTTGCAGCCTATTCTCCTGAGGACCTGAAGGAGCACACTGTGGAGGATGCGGAAGATGCAGATGCAGGCGACCTGACCTCAGCCCCACAGGATGACCCTCCACAGAAAGACGACTTTGCGGAGGAAAGTGTGGAACCGGCAACGGATCAGACATGTGACCAGCAATCAGCTGGTGCTGCTGAGTTCTCTGGACAAGAGATGGACAGTGAGTCACATGTCAGTGAGACCAGTGACCGACTCTCAGACTTTGAAAGCCCCTCCAGAAAACCTGAGGCCACTGTGGTTGCAACACCTTTGAATGGTGGAGCAATGACGTCTCCCATTGCCGTGGACACCTTAGAACAAATGAAGGCGATATACTCCACCTTCCTTACCAGCCCATTGTGGTCACCCCTGAATTTCAATTCTACGCAGCCACAAGTGCAGTCGACAGCTTCTGCAGAGAAGCCTGCTCGCAGCAACAGTACAAGTAGCAGTAGCAGCTGCAGCAGTGGCAGCTATGACTGGCATCAGTCTGCCGTAGCCAAAACTCTACAGCAGCACCAAACCCAGACCCGTACGCCTGCTCAGTCGGAGCCCAGCCTCTTCAGTACGGTTCAACTCCACAGGCAAAACCCAAAACTTTTTGGCTCAATCTTCACTGGTGCTAGTAAATTCCGCTGTAAGGGCTGTAGTGCTGCTTATGACACTCTGGTGGAGTTGACGGTCCACATGAACGATACAGGCCACTACCGCGATGACAACCAAGACAAAGCAGGCAGCGGTTCAAAGCGTTGGTCTAAACCACGTAAGCGATCCCTGTTGGAGATGGAGGGCAAAGAAGACGCCCAAAAGGTTTTGAAGTGCATGTACTGTGGCCACTCTTTTGAATCCCTCCAAGACCTCAGTGTTCACATGATCAAAACCAAACACTACCAGAAAGTGCCTCTGAAGGAGCCCATGGCCCCCGTGGCTGCCAAAATGATGCCCACCAGGAAAAGAGGACTGGTAGGCTTGGACCTCATCCCGTCACCGCGTTCTAGAGAAGGAACCCCTAAGGTTATGCACCCACAGACAGATCTGAGTGAATCTTCACCAAGACCCTCCTCCAGCCCCTACACTAACTCAAATAACCGATACCAGAATGGTGGCAGCTATGCTTGGCAGTTTGAATCAAACAAGTTTGAAATACTCAAATGTATGGAGTGTGGAAGTTCATTTAATACACTGCAGGAGCTGAGAACCCACATGATCGTGACAGGACACTTTCTGAGAATGACCAGCTCTATAGGAAAGAGAATCAAAACACTTCCTGAGGCCACCTCTCCTAACCATGGAAAGGCTGCCACTCCGACTGAACAACCAGTGCAGTCTGTTCCACTGGCACCTTCTACCTTCTCCCCTCCCCCTCTTCAAACTATAAAAACTCCCCCTGCCCACTCCCCTCCTCTTAAAGAGATCAAAAAGGAGGAGGTTGAGGAGGAGTGTACCAAACAGGAGGCCATTGTAAATGTAAGGGCAGTTTCTCTAGAGAAGGACGAAGAAGATGAAGCAGAGGAAAAATATGACATCACAAAGTATAACTACCTTACTGAAGAGGACCTAAAGGAGAGCCCTAAAGGGGGGTTGGATATCCTCAAGTCACTGGAGAACACTGTGACATCAGCCATCAACAAGGCTCAGAGTGGGAATCCAAGCTGGGGCGGCTACCCTAGCATCCATGCAGCTTACCAGTTTCCCAGTGCTCTCAAACTCCAACAGGGCAACATGGAGAAAACGTCTCCAGTGAAGTTCTTGTTCAACAGTGGAGATGTCACATTAACCAAGAACCAACCTCTGATTTCCCCACCGCTTGATCAGTCATCCCCATTACCGAGTAACAACTTCCAAGCAATGGAGGATTTAGTAAAAAAAGTGACTGAGAAAGTAGCAAAAGTAGAGCGCAGGGTTAAACAGCTGTCCCCCAGAAGAGATAATCCCGTCTCACCCTGCAGTAGTGAAGCTGGATCACACAAGGGACCAGAGGATGACTCACCACGGGAATGGGGGGCAGTCACTCCAGCCAATAGTGACAGGGGAAGTCTTAGCGACCGAGCATCCCCAGCAACAGAACCCAAAAGAGACACAGCAGTCAAGTCCCCTCACGCCTCTACGCTGAGATGCAGTACTACAATTATTACTGGCCATACTCCTCCAGAGCAGCCTTTTGTCAACCCTCTAAGTGCTCTTCAGTCGGTAATGAACATTCATTTGGGGAAAGCAGCCAAGCCTGCCTTGCCAAACCAAGATCCCTTGAGCCTGCTCTCTAGGCTTAGCCAGAGTATGGCTGAGAGAGCTGCTGTGGCCGCCCCTCCCTCTCAGATCAAAAAGCTGGAAAATGTCATAGATAATAGGTTTGCCCAACCCAGTGATGACCAGCCTATGGACCTCACAAAAGGAAAAAGTGAAAGAGGAGCCTCTGTCAACTTCAGCCCTTTAACTCCTTCTTCTACAGCCTCCTCCATCTCTCCTGCCTCCCTCATTACTCCTTCAAAGCTGACAGTTGTCTCTCCCTACACATGCAGCAGCCCGCTGCATGAGAATGCTTTGTCTGACATATCGGACATGCTGAGGAACTTGACACAGTCCCACCTCGTCCCAAAGACGTCCTCAAGGTCCAGGGTCACCGAGAAAGTTGAGGTTGTGGGAACCACGCACGACGACGACGACGCAGCCCTGCTTGGCCACAAACGCAAAGGTCGTCACTCCAACTGGAACCCGCAGCATCTTCTTCTTCTGCAGGCCCAGTTTGCCTCGAGCCTGAAGCAAACATTAGAAGGGAAGTATATCATCAATGACCTCAGCCCACAGGAAAGGATGCACATATCTCGTTTCACGGGTCTCTCCATGACCACCATCAGCCACTGGCTTGCTAACGTTAAGTACCAGCTGAGAAGAACAGGCAGAACCAAGTTCCTAAAAAACCTTGATTCCGGTCAGCCTGTGTTCTTCTGTAGTGACTGCGCCTCCCAGATCCGAACCCCAGCTGCATACGTGTGTCACCTGGAAGCTCATCTGGGCTTTAAAATCAAGGACCTGGCCAAGCTTTCTAACAAACAGCCTGTGAGGGACTCCCAAAGTCTCAGTGAGAAACTGTTGCCCCTGGAGTCCCTCTTTTCTCCACAATCAGAAGACGACTGCAGCAGTAATGGGACAGTGTACCGCTGCCAGCTCTGTGTCCGTAAATTTGCCACTAAGCACGCCATCAAGCTTCACCTCAGCAAGAGCCACGGGAAGTCCCCAGAGGACCATCTGCTGTATGTGTGTGAACTGGAGAAACACTGAATTTCACTCCATGTCCACATACCCGAATATATATTTTAAATTATTGTTTAAAAAAAAACATATATGAAAAAAATACTTAACTACTGTTAAGAATGTCAGCACAACGTGTTTACATTATTTGGTCCATTAACATTTCCAACTTCTATGTTTCAAAAAATAAAAAATATCCCAACATTTCCTCCTTCACAAATTCCTGGCCGCTCTTTGTTGTCTCTCTAAGTCACTGTCGAGGCCAGTTCCACAACCATATTGAATCCCTTGACTGTAAGGTCAACACGTAACTTGAAAGAAGTTAAATATCATATTTATTTTCTAACCTTTGTGACCTTGTTTTAATTCTGCTGATAACATGCATGTACAAAAGGTTTTTTAAGCTTATGTTTGTACAGTTTTGTCCTGTCTCTATTTGAACTATGGTCTTTGACCATTGTTATTATTATTTCTTAAAACAGCCAAAAAACCTGGGAGAGCTCCTTAAAAGAACCTGCCAAACAGCAACTCTCATCGCTTGTTTTTACCGTTTCCTTTGTAAAGACTATGGATTTCCTCGTTGATTGTAAAAGTTGCCTTGTTCTTGTCATTGAGTAAGGGGCACATCAAGGGCCAGGTGTGTGTAAATATGTATATGTAGTGTATAAGCTTACGACTTGCTGTTTAAATTATGCATACTTGGTATATTTCCTAATTTAAGAGGACAATGACTATCCACTGGTGCAGAGCGTTTGAAGAAGATTAAAAGGACATTGTTTTGCACAATAGTTTTATAAATGTAATTTGATTAAAAAACATTATAAATATGTTATTGCCTTGTGCTTCTATTATTAAATTGAAAAAAGTGCTGCATAAAATATTTGTCATCTTCATATTTGCCGATCTGATTGTTACAACACCCTTTCCTGGACATTTTATAAAAATCATAAGACATTGTAGTTCATTATTTAGCAGTGCGCTTTTATTTGTCATTAAAGAAAAAAAAAGATGATTTTTATTTCAACATTAAAAATGAAATCCTAATATTTAGGTATGATTATAAAACTCATTAGTAAATTGATACCTGTAAGAAAATACACTTTTGTGCCATTCTGGTGCGATTCCCTTCAGAATTCATTGAACTATTCAGGTGTGTATCAATAATATCTTTTTTTCTTGTCCTTTGTTTTAAAGGTGACACCTTTAAATATTGTTCAGTGACAGTACAGTCACTGAAGCATCTTTGAACAAAACGTTTTGTTTTTCCATTTAATAAGGAGAGATTACTGACTAATCCTAAATTTTCTGATGTAATTCACCATTTTTACGGAAAACTCTTTCTTCATTTTGAAGAGGAGAATGAAAGCCTTAAAGCATTTGCAACAAAGCCCACATCTGCTTAGATTCCTCACCAGAAATCAAAAACTCCTTAGTTTTACCGTCTGCAGTTGTCTTCACAACCACAATATGTCTATTGGTGGGGATTTCTGCGTGTCGGTGCATCGTTGTGGGATGGACCTGCGAAGTGCGAGCGGTGCCACAGCCTGCGAGGCGTCTGGCAGGTGGTGTGTGCTGCATGTAAACCACCAGATGTTTCTGAAACGAGCCACTGGAGGAGGAGGAGGAGGCAGCCGGGCTGCAACAGCAGGCAGAGTGGGCTGATTACCACGGGGGCTTGGATGCCATCAGGAGCCCTAGGCACAGACAGCAGATCTGGCACACACCTGAACTCTGAGACTGTCCCTTGGAAAAAATAAAGTGGTTCCTATATATGCGCACTGAGACTAGCTGACAGTGGTGCAGGATGCACAGACAGGTGCTATTCCCTCAAAGCAGGCTTTTGGATCTAACAGTATTACTGGCAGGTGTTGATGCTATCAGAGTAGTCACAGTTCGGGCTCAGTGCCATGTAATGAGAAAGTTTTTATGATGTTGTGCATGCACACACACACACACACACACACACAGACTAACACATTAAGTGCCAGATTCTCCACCATCTACCTTTGTCTTATTTGAAGTTGCCTGGGGACACCATGTTCTTTGTGTTTGATGTTCCCAGACTCGGCTTGTCATGACTGACTGACTGACTTGGGGCTGGGCAAGTTATCTGGTTTCCATGGTGACGGCCATTTGCCCAGCCTCTAACCCTGCTCGTTCACTCAGCAGAGGACAGCTCGAGTGCAGCACACCCATTTACTCTCTTAAATCTCATCATCTCGCTTCAGTTGCTCCCACCCGGGAACAGATTAATTAACACACACACACACACACACACACACACACTGTGTCCTGACCCCTTCTTCTCACACAAACTCATTACCGCCTCAGACTCGCTCCTGGCCCTCGAATGTTTAGGATACACGGGTCTAACATTATAGGAGGACGCGGTGATGACTCACATCTGACAAGCTGAATAAAGCCTTTAACAAAGGATAATTGAAAGATGGGTTTCAGACCAGTGGCCATTGATAACGCAGATAAAAAAGACAGTGATGCCCTGCTGTAGTTTAACTTCTCAGTCCTTGCAACATCCGTGCAGGTACAAAATTATCTCTAAGATGTGATTATTTCTCTCCCTGCACTGTAAGTGTTGAGAAATGCTCTGGGCTTGGGGGAGGACTCAGGTTGGGGATGGTTGGGGCGTTAATGAGATAGATGACACATTGGGGGTTAATGAGGGGCTGGAGGGGGAGAGCTAAATGACTGGACTTTTGCTTGGATGTGTATTATATTGGCTTGTGGAAGCAGAGCGATTTATTATACTGTACAGCAGTCTGCTGTTGAGAACACAAACACAAACACACTCTGTGAAGCTGTAGTTTTTTCTGTGTTCATAAAGAAAAGGATTAGATGTGTAATGTATTGTTCTTTTGTCTCCACTATCCTTGGGGCCTGGTAGTTATAGATGCCAATGCGCCTCAGTGCTTCTAAAACAAAGTCAACAGAGAAGGGGAAAAGAAAAGAGGCGGACAGGACAGGGACAGGGATGGGAGGAGAATGAGTCCCCCACTCCTCCACTCCACAGATCTCCCATCAGCTCTTGTCAACCCTCTAATGAATATCAGTTAAATTGCTCTGTGGATCTGAGGAGTTTGGATGTCAATGTGATTTGTGTGAGAGTGGCGGATGGAGGGGCCCAGACTAATGAAAGGCAGGAGAGCCTGACAGAGTGATGAGCATCAAAGCCATCAGACCAATCGCACAAGAGTGGCTGATAGCTGTGACATATAGACAGCTCAGGAGGGGAGGTTATGTATTTAGGTAAAGAAAACGGCTTCAGAAATAGTGGCAGGTGTCGTCAGAGCACACTCAGAGACGCTGTGCCGGTCTGAGTGTACAGGTAGAGTAGTGTCAGCCGATACAGCCTGCACTGTCACCAGAACGCAGCGCTGAAGACAACATAAATTGTGGTTCTAGTACAGATTTATAGATGACAGCTCTCTCTCTTAGGTTTTAATGCATTGTGTTAATCAGAGGAAGTCTTAAAAATATCATCAGGTTATGAGGATAAAATGGATTAACCGCTAATAAGATGAAACAAATCAGATAGAAGTCTAACATTTCTGACCCGACATCGTAATTTCCTAAACAAACGTGTTATGTCACCAGCTCTTGCACTGTGACGGGATATTTGTCGATGTGAAGATTCCACCGCTAAAGTGAGATGACAATCATGGACAGATGTGAAGTTGGCTTCACCTTGGGCGTCTGATCCCAGGTCCTGATGTCTGGAAAGAGTCATCAGGTACATCTGAGGTCACCGACCTCAAGGTCGCACTCCAGTGTCAGAAAGCGAACCGAATGCTCTGTCAGGTTTAATATTTTTCACACAGACAGTCCTGCTGCATTATCCAACTACTTATGCAAACAATAACACACACACACAGACAGTATGTGTGCAGGAGACAGAAACAGAAGAACCAAGAGAAGGAGAAGAGAGGTAAGTTTAAGGAGGTCTGATTTCCAATTGTGCCGTCTCTCGTGGGTGCAGCCTTTCAAGCTGCTGTGTTGCACTGTTCTGCCAGGGCTGCTGCTGCTGCTGCTGCTGCCGATGCTGCTGCTGCTGCTGTATGAGAGAGCTGTCACAGGTATTTTGGTGTGATATCTGACAGATTTGCTAAAGATACTCGTCTCAAGTCACTAGTCTATATGTCGTTAGTTTAATGCACAGTGACATGACCAATTATAGCGAGCTCCGTGCTCAAATAGCATGTCAAAACCTGTGTATCAATCCATTAGATTCTGTCTCCCATCACATTAAGTGGTACCTTTAGCTATCTGTGCGGCATTTAAATAAAAATGCTGACAGAATGGAAAATCTGCATGCACTGTTCACAGAGCTGATGTCTCCTGGAAAAGAAAACTGCCTCTCTCAATTCCTCTCTCTCTCACTCGTCTCTCTTTGCTCTGCCACAAGAGCACAAAATGCATAAACAATACATCTAGATAATGGCCTGCATTGTTTACTTAGCATTGGAAATGTATTTGTGCAAAACTCTAAAATGCATTTAGAGGGAATCATTCACTCAGTGTAAAGTCATTTTGACACCGGGGTGCTCTCTAAGGCAGGGGAAGTGTCATAACAACATCATATATCACACAATCAATTGGAATAAAAGAAGGTGATGTATACCACTTGGAACAACCCGGTAGATTTGACCAGTACTTTCTCCAGCGGCTTTTCCGCAGCAGGCTGCTTTGTTGCCAGTGACAGGCAGTGGGTGGGCAGAGGTGTGTGATTTAGTGCAGTTAGTCCTAACGACCTCTCTGTCCTTGTGACGAAGACACAGCCTCAGGGCGTTGGCATGGTAGACAGGCATTGGACCGCCTGGCACCTCGCCTGGCACCACGCATGGCAACATGTCCACACTCTGCTGCCATTCTGATGGATTGGCCCGTCTCTCATGCCACCTTCATGAAATCACTTTTTGATTTGTTGTCATGTTTTCCACCCTTTTTTTTCCTTGCCACTCGGGTTTTTCACGAGTGAGAACACCCTCTGGTCAGGTATTACAAGAGTGATTAAATTAACCTTCCATAAATCAGCATAATACAGAGCATTAACTGTGTGTGTGTGTGCCCGTGTGTGTGTGTATGAGAGAGTCGCTACCATGGTGTGTTGAGGAGGTCAATGTCAACTGTCCATCCATGACCACTATGTGAAACACACTTGCCCTGTGGTTAGAGCTGCTCTTTTCAATGTGCCATTTTAGAGGAAACACATCAATAAGGTGCGATTACAAGGCTGACAAAATTAATTCTCAACTGTCATATCGCAGAGCTGGGCTTTGAGAGTGCTCTGATCAGGTTGCATTAGCGGGAAGTGACTTGATGATTTGGAGTGGGATCAAAATCCATTTGAATCCCCTTCTGTTTGACTCTGGCCCTATTATCATCCAGAAGCATTTTTCTTATAAGGTACAAATTACATTTATAGGTGCATTTTAATCTCAGCTCCTGGATTTAAAACCCTCCATAGCTTCCTGTGCTGCCAGTGTAGGAGGCCACATCAGAAGTCAGAGTTAAATGATCTTTTTTGTTTTCAATGCGACAAAATAATACCGATAATAAAATAAAAAGCTTTTTTTTATATAGCTTTGCATGGAATCTTCTTTTCACAGCTGTTTTTATTTTCACAGACAAATCTAATACTGAGTGTTGAGCATTACTCTAGCTCAGGGCTGTCAAACTCACATCAGTAATACAGTTCCCCTCGAAGGTCGGGTTGTAAACGGAAGACTGTATAGATCAGGGGTTCCCAACCCCCGGTCCGCGGACCAGTATCAGTCCATAGGTCATTTGGTACTGAACCGCAGTGGGTCAC